TCTCAAACTACAACACCATCAGCTTCATTCCCCTCTACACCAGCTGCGCATTCATCACCAGCAACTGTTACATCTCCTCCACCGGCCACCGATGTCTGAGTAGAAGCTACTTCTCCTCCCTAGTCTCCTGATCATGGGAACTTAGGGCATAATTATTTACCCCCTTCTCCTGATCCCCGAGGAAGGAGGAGCGTCACTCTCTCGATTTCGAAGGAGTTCCATCTACTATCCAGGCCGGTGGAGCTTGCCAATTACCTGAAGCCACTGGCTTCAGAAAAAGATAAGAAGAAGATACATTCCTTCTCCGGGGAGTGTACGTTGAAGAATGACATACACAATGCGGCAGCGGTATCGTACTTGTTCTCTTACTCTTGTTTTTTATTTATCTGTTATAATGGGTTTTCTAACTTTGACATATGTTTTGCAGGCTAACTTTCTTGCGTCCGAGGGCCTTCAAAGGTTGATCCTTGATAAATAAGGACTTATGTCTGAGCGGGATCAGCTGTTGGCTGAGAGGAACCAAATTACTGCTCGCTTCTTGGTGCTGGAAGCAAAAGCTGCTGAAGCGAATATGCTAGAGGCTCGGTTGTAGCAAAGCGAGCAGGAAGTGATGGCCCTTAGCCAATAAGCCACTCAGCTTAATGTACAGTTTCAAGAGGCTAAGGCTAAATGGGCTGAGGTTCAAGATGCTCTGCTCGCTGATACCGAGTGCGAGTCTGCCTCTATTGAGCGAGTGAATAATTTGGAGGCAGCCTTGAACTCCAAATCCGAATAGGATGTTGCTGCCAAGGAGAAGCGGGCCCAGATGGAAGAGAGGTATAAGAAGATCATGGAGAAAAACCGTGTTTACATATCAAGACTCTGTGATCTTGATCTTAGCCTTGGCGCCACAAGATTCAAGCGGGATGGCCTTAGCCGAGGTTGACATACTTAAGGCAAAGCTCCAATACCAAGGGAATTCCCTCGTCTTTGAAAATACATACTTTATGTATCATATAAGGAGGAAAACCTTGGAGTAGGCCAAAGAGGACGTCATTGATATTGATGATGAAATCGCCAAGGCCCGAGCGCTTATGTTAACTGCTCGAGAACGTCTCCTAGCCCAGTCTGATGCAACTGACTCTTCTAGTACCGATTTTGAGTATTCGAACACCTAGGGGGGAACTTGACAAGAATGCTAATAAAGGTCATGATCATGCACCGGCGACAAATCTGCCCTCTTCTCCCGGAGGGGGTGGGGGGTGGGGGGCATAGATGCCTCTCTCCCTCGAGTTCCGGCGGCGATGAAGTTTAAAGTTTTCCTCTTTTCTTTATTATTTCCTTTTATTCTTTTGTACTTATGCCATTTGGCATGTTGATAAATAAATAAGTCTTTTGTTTTAGTATTGCGCAAAGTTTATTCTTTTTTCGTCGAATTAGATAAGACTTCGGGTATATTTTCGTCCGATAGCCTTTGGGTTACAGGCATAAATTCTTCCGAAACCAACCCTTTTCTATGAGGGTTTCATAAGAGAGGGCTCTCTTATGTTTACGGTGCTCTTGAAGAGGACGTGTCCTGTTTATTTCGGCACAATCTTTTGAAGTCTTTAGTTAACATTCAAATGATAAAATCGATTCATCGTTTGGACAAGAAACAAGATAAAAATAAAAGGAATTTATTTTATTACTTCTATCTTAAAAAGTACATAAGCATTCGCTTACTGAAAAATAAATTGCCAATACATGTGGCTAACTTGTACAACTTGTTTCTATGGGGCTGGCCATGCTGTCCCCGGTCTTGATGAGATATTAATGTTCCCGGATCTCGTAGTCCCAATTTTCATGGCAATCATGTTGTTGTATTCTTATACTATTTCTTCTAGTGTTCGAATGCGGAGTATGCGAATTGGAACACTGGAAGTCTTGCTCATTTGAGGAAAAACACTTGTGAACGGTTGAATAATCTTTGGTTCTATGGCAAGCTTTGTTTCCCGTTAGGAACTTTGCCAACGACCCAAAGATTATTTAACCATCCCGTAGTGTCTTGTTGTTTTGAGTGCCTTGTCTTTTAACGGTCTTAGCATTGCTGATGATGCTCCCTTTGTTGCTGCCTCGTTAAAAACCTTGCCAGAAAAATCTGATTTGGATAAAAACTGGTCGAAGGGAAAAAGAGTGCATCACATACTTTCAATATAGGTAGGATCCATTAGCAGTAATACCTTTTAAGGTGACTCACGTTCTAGTTTCTTGGCAATTTGACTCCATCTTGATTCTCCATCTCGTATGAACCTTTACCGGTGACAGGTGAAACTCGGTAAGGGCCTTCCCACATTGGGCCTATCTTTCTAGTGTTAATTTCCCGAGTGTTCTGAGTCACTTTCATCAAAATCAAGTCTCCTACTTTAAAATAGTAGAGATTGTCCTTCCGGTTATAGTATCTTTTCATCCTTTGTTTCTAAGCCACCATCCTTACGTGTGCCAAGTCCCTGCATTCATAGAACAGTTCTAACTTTACCAGTAATGCTTCATTATTTGTTTCTTCGTCTGTTCGAAAAAACTGTAAGGTTGGTTCCCCTACTTCCACCGGGATTAGAGCTTATGTGCCGTATACGAGGGGGAAATGTGTCTCTGCTATGCTTGATTTTGCTGTCGTCCGATACGCCCATAGCACGTCTGATAACTCTTTCGGCCTCTTGCCTTTAGCTACTTCTAACCTCTTTTTGAGGTTTTGAATAATCACCTTATTAGTTGATTCCTCCTGACCATTAGCGCTCGGATGATATGGTGAGGATGTAATCCTTTTGATCTTTAGGTCTTCAAGAAAATTTGTGACTTTGGATCCTACGAACTGTGGTCCATTATCACAGGCAATCTTCTTCGATATTCCGAACCGACAAATTATGTTTTCCAATAGGAAGTCGACAACGCGCTCACCGATCTTTGGTAAGGACCTGCTTCAACCCATTTAGTGAAGTAATCAGTTAAAATTAAAAAGAATCTTACATTTTCGGGACCTGGTGGCAATGAGCCAACTATATCCATATGACAAGTCTAACAACCATGTGCAATAGATAAATCAATCACATCAAAAAATCATACCGAATTCCGACTTATAAGTAAGATAAATAATTTGCTCACTCGTTCCATGGAATTAAAGCATTATAAACTCCAAACTCGAAATTTCAATGAAACAGTCACACCTGAAGTCGCGAACAAGTGGGGGTATCGGATTTTCATATCCTCCTCGGCCTCCCAAATGGCTTCTTCGATGCCATGATTACGCCATAATAGTTTAACTAAAGCTATATCTTTTGTCCTCAGCATACAAACTTGCCTATCTAGAATCTCAACCAGTTCTTCTTCATAAGATAAACCATCATTTATTTCTACTACCTTTGGTGAGATGATATGAGCAGGATCGAGCATATACCCCCGTAGCATCGAATTAGGCACTGCACTGAAAGTGCCAAAAGTCCGGGCCTTTTTGTTCTGCTCCCTGTTAGCTCTCTCCTCCTGAGGAATCCTCTCGAGATCCATTGCTAGATCCACAAAGTCAGTAACGGTAGTGTTTCTTCTCCCATTAGCTGTATCTTTTTTGATGCCCGGAATCAAGCCACGAGCAAAGCAATCAATCTTCTCATCCTCAGTGGGGATGAGGTGGGGAGCATAACGAGATAACTTCTCGAATTTGATGCTATACTCTAGGAAGGTCATGGTATCCTACTTTAAGGTCTCAAACAATATCGCAAGGGCAGCTCTCACTCCCGGTGGTAACCACTTCTTAATGAAGATCTTCTTAAACTCTACCCAAATCATTGGAGGTGCATATTCCGATCGAATCTTCTCTGCCCCTTTGAACCAGAGGTCAACAATGTCTTTCAACTGGTAGACTGCATATCAAACCACCCGGTAGTCTTTAACTCCCAATAAAGTAGAAGCTTTCTCAACTTCCTCCAAGAAGTCCTGAGGTTATGCAGTATGATCTGTACCAGTGAAAACTGGCTGCTCAAGTCTCACAAATTTCATGGCCAACTGTGCCATGTCCTCAATCGCTGGTGCCCTCATCCCTATTTTTGGAGTGCCTGGATACCCACTTGAAGGTTCTGTTGGGTCTGCATAGCCATGAGGTCAGCAAAAGTATCCATAGCTTAACTAATATCAGTGAGGGTCTTCTCCAAGTGATTTGGTTCTGGAAGTGGAGCAGGTGCCTCATCAACTTCTTTCTCGAGCTCCTGGACCATCCTTGGAGCAATTGGAACTGGCACAATCCGTGCTCTTGTAGCCTTCGGAGGTCGGCCCCTAGGACTAGTGAGTACCCCTCCCGAAGCCGCATCGAGTATAGGAGCAGCTTCCCGATTCATATTGCTGCGACACATGTTTACCATATTATGCTAATTGATATAGTGCATGAGTCAATAATTATTTCTCAGTTGTATTGCACGATTCTAGAACAAGAAGAAAGAGTGAAACGTTCCTATAATGTCCATGAAGCCTTCTCGATATAAGTGTGGTGCACAACACACCCGTAAGGAGAACTCTACCAGACATGATTCCATAGACCTTCTAGGACTCAAAATAGAACCTAGGGCTCTGATGCAAAGTTTGTCGCGCCCTAAAATCACGTGACTGATACTCGGTACTCTACCCAACCCGAATAAACCATCCCATAGATTAATACTCATCTATATGCCTAATAGAGGGATGCGAAAGCCTCTTCAAGTATAATCATTTTAAGATATAAAACAAAACATAAATAATGTCTTTAAATAAATATTTTCCTTTGAAAGAAAACTTCATAAAGTTAAAAGGAAGTTTCATTCATGCATGCCATATGAGTAACCATAGGATTACAACCCAAAAATGAATACTACTATTGCCTATGGAATCTCTATGATATGGAAATGAAATAGTCAACCACGACATAACTCGGTGGCTCAAAATAATAATAATATAATAAAGTCCTCCACGAGTACAAGTGTGGAGTCTCACCGAAAAATGCCAACAGAGAATGTAAAGCTGCCCTATCCACGCAGCCCAAGCTGCTCAGGTCCAGTCCCTGAAAACAGAAATAAAAATATGGACGAAAGGCCTAAGCTCCACATGCCTAGTACGAATCATGAACCGTTCCCCAAAAGAGAGTAGGACAAGACTTAAGAAGATATAAGATATGCGATAATAATTGATATAAGAAAGAAGCCTTAATATCAATTAACAATTTAGAAAATAAAATAAAATAATATAGTAAAACATATTCTAAAATCTTCCTTTAGCATTAATCTTTGCAAAATCATGTTAGATTTTTCATTTACCGGGAGCACTGTACCATCACCGACACGGAAGAAAGTCAACTAGGTTATGTACCTATAGGCAAGTATCATATACCCTACTTGCTCAGGTCGTCTCATCATTGTGCTGCACGAATCGACTCAGCCATGCTAATAAGGTAGCACAATAGTACCCCATCATGGGTAGTACTCTGCTGTATTTCCCAATCGTAAGGTGGGTTCTACGCCTGCACCGGCACATGTAGTTTCATGACCTAATGAGAAAAAATATCCAAGGTCAATCTCGGTGAACCTAAGTAACTCCCAAAACTTTTACATTTATCAATGATGATGTCTATAGCCAAATCAACTATTTGAGAATAGTTAAATCCAAGATATTTCGCAACTCATGTATTTTCATTTCAAAAATGCTACAAGTGCAATTCCTCCTTTATTTAGTTTTAAAACTGAAATAAAACCTTTCAAGAAAATAGTATTCATAGCACTAAAATCTTTTATGATGCATGAAATAGTACAATCCCAACTCGTACGTCCCCACAAGCTAGGACTCACATTTAGAATTTCTATTTACTCGCATTTCAATATGAGTTTGGAGAAAAGCTCCGAGAGTAGTAAGTTTCAACGTACCTCAAATTGCTTCCAACCTTAACCCAAATGATCCAATAATGCCAACGAGTCACAATCTACATATACGAACTCACATAATTTTAAAAATGCGTCAGAACAATACCAACTAAGCCAACTAAGTGCCTAACACTTAAGTCCAATTTCATAAGTTTAGCAAAAATCTCCATTTCCTCATTTGAACATCATTCCTTGAATTTTAGCTCCAACTCTTTCATTAAACTTGTTATGGGATCTAGTCATTCCACTAGAAACTCAAAATAACATCGTTCAAGCAAGACCCAACACTATTCATCATCCCTACCAACCAACTCTTCAATTTCAAGACTAGTTTCTAGGGTTTCATGAATGGATGTTTTAAATACAAATTTATCTTTATTAATATACTCTACTTCGTCCATGTAGTATAATATATAAGTTTGGAGTGAAGAGACTACCTCTTTGTCAAACTCTAGAATTTTCAAGATTTGAGTTCTTGAAGGTTCCTTGAGATTATCTTAAAAAATCTATGAATTCCATGATGTTTGAGGGTTAAGATATGTAATAAAAGAACCAAATCTACCAAAGGGATTTAATTCTTACCTTGAAGATGTATTAATGGTAGAGAGCTCTCCCTCCTCTCTAAACCTTTAAGACTTGGACCAAAATTATATAACTTTCTCTCTCCCAAATTATTTATAAGAGCTTCAACTGTGGGTCTTAAATTTCGGATGCTAAGTTGCACGCCTTCGCTGCACTTCACTGCCTCACGTTGGGTTCCAACTTATTTTGGACGCGATGGAAATGCGACGCATCAAGTGTAGCGTCCATCACTGAAGCAACATTTTGATCTTCAACTTTGTTCATTCCATTTCCCAACTTAACATGTTTGCTTTTGTCTTTCATAATTAATTCCATTATTCCCTTGTCCCCTTCTTCCACTTTAGTTACTGCCAACTTTTTGCCAAACTTCTCTTTCCAACTTATTCCAAATATGATTGTCCCACCTTTATTCTTGAAGATTAATATTTTCCAAGCACTTATCCCATTATACAAAAATTTATATCCAAGTGTTAATGATAACCTCCTAAATTTCCCTTAATCTAACATTAAACCTTTGATAGAATAATTATCCCCAAGTGGTCCAATGACATATTCTATTCAAGAAATCTCACGTAACTCGGGTTGAACTAAATTGCATTCTTAAGCATGAAATTTGTAAAAATTAATTAATTTTTTTATGGGGATTTACATTCTCCCCTACTTAGAAACATTCATCTCGAATGTAAATACTTGGTCGTATTAAAGTCCGGAAGCGAAATCTCTAAGTCTTTCCTTACACCTTAACTCTTTAAGGCTTCAAAATTTGACTAACTCTCCTAATTTATAAAATTTCGGCAGAGTTTCCTTTGTTAATAGGCTTATCCCAAAATTCCAACCTGACAATGAGCCATAAGAATACAATATAAAAGGCCCCACACGGCTCTACTTATCACAACTACATCAATAAATGCCTCCGCGACTTCATATATCTCCAAACAGCATTACATAGCCTCTCCTGGCATCACAATAATTAAATTTATTACCATAAGACAAGTCTAACAACTATGCGCAACAGATAAATCAATCACATCAGAAAATCATACCGTATTCTGACTTATAAGTAAGATAAATAATTTTCTCACTCGTTCCATGAAATTAAAGCATGATAAACTCCAAACTCAAAATTTCAAGGTAACAGTCATACCTGAAGTAGCGAACAAGTGGGGGTATCGAGTTTTTATATCCTCCTCGGCCTCCCAAGTGGCTTCTTCGATCCCATGATTACGCCATAACACTTTAAGTGAATCTAAATCTTTTGTCCTCAGCCTACAAACTTGCCTATCCAGAATCTGAACCGGTTCTTCTTCATAAAATAAACTGTCATTAATTTCTACTACCTCTGGTGAGATGATGTGAGCATGATTAGGCATATAACCCCATAGCATCGATACATGAACAACATGGTGAACCAAAGTCATCGATGCAGGTAACTCTAGCTTGTAGGCTACTTCACCAATCCTTTTCAAGATTCGATATGGACCAATGGATCTAGGACTTAGCTTTCCCTTCTTCCCAAATCTCATAACGACCTTCATTGGCGATACTTTCAAGAAGACTTGATCACCCTCTTTAAGCTCCAACTTACGTCGATGTACATCTGTATAGCTTGTTTTTCATATCTGAGCGGTCTTAATCCATTGTTGAATCAAATCCACCTTCTCTAAGGCATCATGTACAAGATCGGGACCAAGTAGACCAACCTCAGTTGGCTCAAACCATCTAATGGGTGACCTACAACGTCATCCGTACAAAGCCTCATAGGGAGCCATCTGGATACTAGCATGATAGCTATTATTGTAGGAAAATTAAATTAGAGGTAAGTGTTCATCCCAATTCCCACCAAAATCAAGGACACAAGCCCGCAACATATCCTCAAGCGCCTGAATAGTTCTCTCAGCCTGTCCGCCAGTCTGTGGATGAATAGTGGTACTCAAATTGACACTTGTACCCAATCATTCTTGAAAGACTGCCAAAAATGAGCTGTAAATAGGCCCCTCTATCAGATATAATGGAAAATGGAATACCGTGAAGTCTGATAATTTCTTTCAAGTACAACTTAGCATACTGAGGTGCCGTGTCAGTCATTTTTACCGGTAAGAAATGCGCCGACTTTGTAAGTCGGTCTACAATCACCCAAATAGAGTTATGATTCAAGCGAGTGCGAGGCAAACCCACCACAAAGTCAATATTAATCATCTCCCACTTCTAAAGTGGAATCTCAATATTCTGAGCCAACCCACCAGGTCTTTGATGCTCAGCTTTTACTTGCTGGAAATTTAAACATCTAGTCACGAAATCCGAAATGTTTTCCTTCATTCGATTCCACCAATAGATCTCACGCAAGTCCTTGTACATTTTTTTGGACCCTGGAAGTATAGAATATCTCGACCTGTGTGCCTCCGCCATAATTTCATTACTAATTTCATCAATATCTAGCACGTACATACAACCGTTCATCTTCAACACCCCATCCTCGTCAAGAGAAAATGCAAGGATATCTTTAGATTGTACACAATTTCGAATATTCACCAAATTTGGATCTTCAAATTGCTTAGCCTTGACATGCTCAATAACAGAGGAACGTGTTATGGCACAAGAGGTAATGTCTTTAGCTATCGGTAAATGAGCCAAGTTACCTCATGACTTTCCGCTTAGCGCATCGTCTACCACATTCGCCTTTCCCGGATGGTAATGAATGCTTAAATCATAATCCTTCAATAGTTCTAACCATCTTCTTTGCCTCAGGTTTAATTCCCCCTGCTTGAATATATATTTCAAGATTTTATGGTCGGTGTATATTTCATAGGGCTCACCGTACAAGTAATGCCGCCAAATTTTCAAAGAAAATATAATCGCGGCAAGCCAAGTCACGGGTCGGATAGTTATTCTCATGGATATTCTCATGGATCTTTAACTGTCTAGAAGCATACATGATAACCTTACCTTTCTGCGTCAAGACACAACCCAACCCAACTATAGAGGCATCACATAAACTATAAACTCACCCAAACCTGTTGGCAACATCAACACCGGTGCCGTAGTCAATATAGCTTTCAACTCTTGAATACTTCTCTCACAAGCATCTGACCACTGAAACTTTGCTTCTTTCTGCGTCAACTTGGTTAACGGAGATGCAAGAGTAGAAAATCCTTCAACAAACTGCTGATAGTAGCCTGCTAATCCCAAACACTACGAATATCTGTCGATGTAGTTGGTCTAGGCGAACTCTTAACCGCTTCAATCTTAATATTTTCATGAGATACCACATGACCCAAGAATGCTACGGATTCGAGCCAAATTTCACACTTAGAAAATTTGGTATATAACCCATGCTCCAAAAGCGTCTGCAATACTATTCTCAAATAATTGGTATGCCCCTCTTGACTTCGCGAATAGACTAATATGTCATCAATGAATACAATCATGAACCAGTCAAGAAATGGTTTGAAAACCCGATTTATTAGATCCATAAAGGTTGAGGGTGCATTTGTTAGCCCAAATGACATCACCAATAATTCATAATGCCCGTAGTGGGTCCGAAAATCCATTTTGGGAATATCCTTGTCTCGAATATTCAACTAATGATACCCCGACCCTAAATCAATCTTCGAGAAGCACTTTGCCCTTGCAACTGGTCAAACAAGTTATCTATTCGAGGTAATGGATACCTATTCTTGATGGTCACCTTGTTAAGTTGTCTGTAGTCAATACACATCCTCAAATAACCATCTTTATTTTTCACAAACATTACTGGAGCGCCCCAAGGCGATACACTAGGTCTAATAAATCCTTTATCCAATAAAATTTTCAATTGCTCCTTTAATTCTCTCAACTCGACTGGAGCCATTCGGTATGGGGGAATAGATATCAGTTGCGTATCTGGCACCACATCTATCTCAAAGTCGATAACCTGATCTGGTGGAATACCCGGAAGCACATCAGGAAAAACATCAAGAAACGCGTTAACAATTGGCACAAACTGAATGCTTGCTACCTCTATAGTTGTGTCAGTGACTCTGACTAAATGATAAAGAAATCCCTTCGTGATCATCTTCTTCGCCTTGAGGTATGCAATAAATTTAACTCGAGGCTCAGCAATATTGCCCTTCCACTCACGAATTGACTCATTAGGAAACTCAAACTTGACTACTTTAGCACGACAATCAAGAATGGTGTAACACTTGTATAACCAATCCATCCCCATAATTACATCAAAGTCAACCATTTCTAGTAGGTCTGCCATAGTCTCTCGATCTTGAATTATAATCACACAACCCCTATAGACGCGAGAGGCAATAACAGAATCTCCCACCGGAGTCGACATAGAAAATGGTTAAAGTAGTTGTTCTGTCTCTATCCCAAAATCCAAAGAAAAGTACGGAGTAACATAGGAAAAAGTAGATCCAGGATCCATAAGAGAATAAGCATCTAGATCACAAACAGTAAGTATGCCTATGATGATAATATTTGAAGCCTCTGCAGTAGGCGAGTAGGCGTGGCATAGAAACAAGGATGAGTCCCCTGAGAAGTAATTGCTATTTGCGGTACCTATCCTGCACTGCGCCCACTGTGGGCCCCATTACCCTTAGGTGGGGGCGGTGCAACCAAAGTAGTAGCCGTAAAAGGCATCGGATGAGCTCTCGAACCCTGTTGCCCGTTAGGGCAAAACGTTCGAATATGACCCATCAACCCGCAACCATAACCACGGGGTACCCTAGTAACACTAGACTGACATTGATGAGAACACACACTACTCTGAGCCTGAACGGTCCTAGACTGGCCTCCCTGTCTGGAACTGTATGCCACTGGAGGGATACTGAAAGCTATCTGCATCCTAGACTGCAGTGGGCCAGATGGCCCTTTGCTTCTCTGCTCCTTGCCCGAACTAGGCACTTCATTGAAAGTACCAAAAGTCCGGGCCTTTTTGTTCTGCTCCCTGTTAGCCCTCTCCTCTTGATGAATCCTCTCGATATCCATTGCTAGATCCACAAAGTCAATAAAGGTAGTATTTCTTCTCCCACTAGTTGTATCTTTTCTGATGCCCAGAATCAAGCAACGAGCAAAGCGATCAATCTTCTCATCCTCAGTGGGGATGAGCTGGGGAGAATAATGAGATAACTTCTCAAATTCGATGCTATACTCTAGGACATTCATGGTATCCTGCTTTAAGGTCTCAAACAATATCACAAGGGCAGCTCTCACTCCCGGTGGTAACCACTTCTTAATGAAGATCTTCTTAAACTCCACCCAAATCATTGGAGGTGCATCCTCCAATCGACTCTTCTCTACCCCTTTGAACCAGAGGTTAGCAATGTCTTTCAATTGGTAGGCTACCAATCGAACCACTCGGTAGTCTTTAACTCCCAGCAAAGTAGTAGCTTTCTCAATCCAATAAGTACTGAGTGTATGCAGTAGGATCTGTACCAGTAAAAATAGGCAGCTTAAGTCTCACAAAATTCATGGCCAACTGTGCCATGTCCTCAACCGCTGGTGACCTCTTCCCTCCTTGTTGGAGTGCCTGAATACCCACTTGAAGGTTCTGTTGGGTTTGCATATCCATGAGGTCAGCAAAAGTATCCATAGCTTTTCTAATATCAGTGAGGGTCTTCTCCAAGTGATTTGGTTCTGGAGGTGGAGCAGGTGCCTCGCCAACTTCTTCCTCGAGCTCCTGGACCATCCTTTGAGCCATTGGAACTGGCACAGTCCGTGCTCTTGCAGCCTTCGAAGGTCGGCCCCTAGGCCTAGCGGGTACCCCTCCTGAAGCCGTATCGGGAATAAGAGCAGCTTCTCGATTCATATTACTGCCACGCGTGTTCACCATATTCTGCCAATTGATATAACGCACGAGTCAGGAATTATTTCTCAGTTCTATTGCACGATTCTAGAACAAGAAGAAAGAGTGAAACATTCCTATAATGTCCATGTAGTCTTCTCGATATAAGTGTAGGGCACAATGCACCCATAAGGGGAACTCTACCAGACACGATTCCATAGACCCCTTAGGACTCGAATTAGAACCTAGAGCTCTATTACCAAGTTTGTCACGCCCTAAAATCACGTGACCGGCACTCGGTACTCTATCCAACCCGAGTGAACCATACAATAAATTGATACTCATCTATATGCCTAATAGGGGGATGCGAAAGCCTCTTCATGTATAATCATTTTAAGATATAAAACAAAACATAAATAATGTCTTTAAGTAACTATTTTCCTTTGAAAGAAAACTTCATAAAGATAAAAGAAAGTTTCATTCATGCATGCCATGAGTAACCATAAGATTACAACCCAAAAATGAATACTACTATTCTTTATGGAATCTCTATGACACAAAAATGAAATAGTCAACCAAGGCATAACCCGGTGGCTCAAAAGAATAATAATATATTAAAGTCCTCCGCGAGTACAAGTGTGGAGTCTCACCAAAAAGTGTCAACAGAGAATGTAGAGCAGCCCTATCCACGCGGCCCAAGCTGCTCAGGTCCAGTCGCTGTAAACAGAAATAAAAACGTGGCTGAAAGGCCTAAGCTTCACA